GTTTAGGGTTTAGGGTTTAGGGTTTAGGGTTTAGGGTTTAGGGTTTAGGGTTTAGGGTTTAGGGTTTAGGGTTTAGGGTTTAGGGTTTAGGGTTTAGGGTTTAGGGTTTAGGGTTTAGGGTTTAGGGTTTAGGGTTTAGGGTTTAGGGTTTAGGGTTTAGGGTTTAGGGTTTAGGGTTTAGGGTTTAGGGTTTAGAGTTTAGGATTTAGGGTTTAGGGTTTATGGTTTAGGATTTAGGGTTTAGGTTTTAATTAGACTCATTCCTAATTTCTTAATTAGAAATTAATTTAATTAGCTTAATTAATATAATTTAAAATATAAAAAATTAATTAGGTGATTAATATTGTAAATAATAATTAAATAATTAGTTAATAATAGCCTATTAATTGATTGATTAGATACTTATAAGGATAATTAGTAATTAAAATTATATTAAGTGGCTCGACGAGAAGAATCCAACGAGTTCAAGATCGTTAAATTTTGATATCATTAAAACATTCAAATGTCTAATAAATGATCCATGATCAAGGGATTCAATATAGGTCTTCCATTCAAATCGCTTCCAATTTAGTCTTGGTCTTCCTCCTATTTACTGATCATGCCGCTCTAAAAAAATTATAAATAGATCCCTCCTTTCTTAATGAGGGGGAAGGCTCAAGCAAGAAGAGAAGGAAGACGAGGAAGAAGGTGTTACACTGATTTCAGGGAATATAATTTTGATGATAGCAAACACTTTTGTTTCTCCACGACTACCTTGCCTACTAACATTTTAGATCCAAAAGATCAAACTGCAAGTTGAACCAGTCAAGATTGGGTAGATTAGGACTGAGTCATTTTGTAATGTAAGACATGTGTCTTTTACCTTTTCTTGAGTCTGTTGTAATATTATGGGTCATGATACTAACCTTGCACACACACACACACACTTGGAAAAAAAATTCTGACTGTTTTAGAGTTTTCTGTTTTTCTCGCATCGTTCGAGATTATTCAAAAATTGTCCTGGACGATCAGTTAAAAATAGAAACCCTAATTAGGGCATCCTAGTTAAGACAGCTGTCATTAAGCACATCGTCTTGGATGAAATTTGTATCGGTCGGGATGATAGACTCAAATCAGAAAGAATCAGCCGTCAAATCTATTTATGTATATTTTATTTTTGGACATCATCCAGGACATCGTCCTGGACGATGCAATAAAATTATGCATAAATTAATATGGTAATTAAGAAAAGCAATTAAGGTTTGATTGCTCGATCATATCGTTCTAGACGATAGCAGGATCAGCCGAGACGATCAGTTCACAAACCTTAGTTATTCTTGGATGATTAAACATCAGCCTGCTTCTATTTAGGGCGATGCTCTGGACGATATGAATTAAATTGAACTAATCGTTTGGGACGATCGTGAGATCGATCGGCCTGGATGATCAAGTTATTTTTACATCGTCCAAACATCCTTTCAGGGTGATGTTCTGGATAATATTCAACGACTTGTACTAATCATACATGACGATATCCTATCGGCCTGGACGATATGAACAAAAACCTTCTGATCATCTCAAATCATCCTGGCTAATTGTGTTAAATTTATACTAATTATACATGACAATATTCAGATCGTCCTGGACAATAAAGTCAGTTTATTGCAATTAACAGCTATTATGAAGCTCTTCTATATAAGCCCTCTTGTTCTACCCAAGAGAGTATCATTTATTGGTATTCTGACCTGAGAGAGATAAGAGAAGAGGGGGAGCAAGGAAGAGAGTGTGAGACCTCGTTCCCTTACTGTTCCTCTCTGATTTGGATTTTTCCTCACAGGATCGTCCAGGACGATTTGAAATCGTCCAGGCCGATCGGTACTGTAGAAAATATCGGCTTGAGAATAGTTCTGGGAGTCGTCCAGGCCGATCGTTTTTGGTCTGATCGTCCTGGGACGATCTGGCGATCGGCCGGTCTGGGGCATCACAGAGAGAGAGGATCTTCTAATGGGGAGTTTGTGAGGGGTTTCACAAAGGTTGCTTCAAGCAATGATCCATCATCGTCTTCTCCGATCATCGTCCCTAGTTCCTTGGGGGTTCTAGAGAGGTCTACTTCAGCATATGATCGAGGTTCTCTGCCTTCTTTAGAAGCAAGCAAAAGGAGTTGGATTTTTGCCTGCTTCTGGAGAAAGAAAAATGAGTTAGGTTCTCTGCCTCACCAGGATTGGTGGAAAGGATATTTGTAAAGGCTTTTTCACCTTGAGGTGGGGGCAAAAGGAGAGATATTGTGTTTAGTGCAATACTCGGAGGAGAGGCTCCGAGGAGTAGACATAGGTCAAGTTGACCGAACCACTATAAATTTCTTTATTATTTATTATTGCTTCCGCATTTAATTTTCGCACTTTGATTTCTTTATGGTGAACTTTGGTTTAAGTTTATGCTTTTGCTTAAAAGATTTTTTAAAAATACTAATTCCCCCCCCCCCCCCCCTCTTAGTTAGCCTTGGGACTAATTTATTAGGGCTTAACATCCCTGTTGATTTTTTAAGTGGTATCAAAGCGGGATTCATAAAATTTGGCTTTTAAAATTTTTGAATTTTCATCTATGGCTATCTTTGGTAATCGTAATACTGCGAAAGGATATTATATTACACGACCACCTTTGTTTGATAATATTCATTTTAATTTTTAGAAAACTCGTATGTCTACATTTTGATAATCGATTGACTATCGTAAGTGGGTGTTTGTTAAGAAGGTTATTCACCTCCATCACGTGAAATTAATGGCATTAAAATTGAACTTCATTTTACTGAATGGACTTTTGATGAAAGAGATTTGGCACAACTTATTGCAAAATGCTTGAACTATTTTTTCTATGCTTTGAAATTGGAAGATTATATACGTGTTTCAACTTGTGTTACTGGTAAAAAAATTTGGGATCTATTATGTATTACTTATGAATGAATTAATGAAATTAAACAATCTAGGTTGAATATTTTGTTGCATGACTACGAACTTTTTCATATGAAACCTATTGAATCAATTTATGACATATATACTAGGTTTACTCAAATTGTTACCATATTGCATGTTTTAGAAAGATAACAAACTAACTATGAAAGAGTGTATAGAATTTTGAGATGTTTGCCTTCTTCCATTGATGTTATAATCATTACAATTACTAAATCTAAATATTTGAATACTTATTATATTGATAGCTTACTTGAAAAACTCATTGCTTACGAGCAAGGGGTGAATCAAAGAAATCTTAATGCATATGAGAAAAAGAAATAGAAAACTGTGACGTTGAAAGCTAATAATACGGATAATGATTCTTCCGAGTCTGAAAACGATGATGTTGCCTTAATCACGAAGTAAATTTAAAGCTTTCTAAGAAAGAATCACAAGCATCATCAGAAAATGGAATAAAGGTAAGAGTAGCAAAAATTATAAATGTTTTTTTGTTGTTGCTTGTTTTGAATGCATGAAGCCTGGACATATCAAAGCTGATTTTCTTACACTTAAGAATCACTCAAGCAAGGAAAAGGGTGAGGAAAAATCTAAATACATGAAGGACAAGAAGTAGTACCAAAAGATGCTCTATGCAAATTTTGCATCTGACACCTCTAAGACTAAAGCAGAGGATGAGACATCAAACTTGTGCTTGATGGCGGGTGATCACCTTGGTCAGTTTGATCAAGAAAAGATATGTGAACCAACCTATGATCAATAACTTAAAATTTATGAGAAAATTCATACATCTTATAAGAAAATTAAAAAATCACATGCTAGATTGAAATTGAAGGTTTTGAATTTGTAAAAAGAGCATGAAGTTTTATTGAAAGATCACTTCCAAATTGATAGCAATCACATGTCTTTACATGATGAGTTTGATGATTTAAATAAAAAGTATTCTGGTTTAATAATTGAGCATGATTCACTCAAAGCAAATCTCAAAGCATTTAAAAATAACAAATCAATATTACATGCATCAAATAATATTAAAAGGAAGCATCAACACCTAAGTAGATTAGTAAATCCTTTTCCTGGTGTTAGATATTTTTCATGTGGCATGCTAGAGCATATTTCACACACTTGCACTGTTCACCGTAATACACATTAGGTATGAAGACCTAAACTGCATAATCCACAACATAATACACATGTATTACATTCCTAAATATGATATTTAATATTTTATAGGCAAACTCTCACAAAAGGCCTTGTGAGAGCATGTTGTACCTGGACAGCGGATGCTCACAATATATGATTGGAGATGTCAATCAATTTATTTTGCTGGAGATTAGGATTGATGGAAAGGTTACTCTTGGAGACAACACCACCAGGAAATTGGGGGCTCATGGATAATCAGAAATTCAAAAAACCTTTTGATTGAAAATATTTATCTTATAGATGGATTGAAACATAACTTTCTCAGCATCAGTCAACTTTGTGATAAAGGCTTCATCATA